GCCTTTTCACAACTTATTTTTATGTTGTTTTATTAAATTTCTATACTGCCCTTCTCCCGAAGGACTCAGGGCGGTGTACAGCCAGAAATAAAACCATGACAATAGAAAAATTAAAAACAAATTAAAACAATTAAATCAATTGGCCGAAAATTCTAATAAAACAACCCATTAAAATAGTAAAAGTATTATTATTATTTAGGCCAGCCCTGCTTGTTGGAATAGTAATGTTTTTAGGGCATGGCAAAAGGTATGCAGGTCGGTAATCCTACGAATCTCCGGGGGCAGCTCATTCCAGAGGGTAGGGGTCCCCACAGAGAATGCTCTCCCCCTTTGTTTATGCCCTGGTCACCTCTCGGTTGGACTATTGCAATGTGTTCCATATGGGCCTTCCCTTGAAGAGTATCCAGAAACTTCAGCTGGTGCAAAATGCATTAGCAAGAGCAGTTATGTTTCTGGTAGATTTCATTATACCTTTGCTCACTGAGCTGCATTGGTTGGCCTCATCACTCCTGAGCTTCAGACATTCCCTCAGAACTGGTCATGCTGGCAGACTTGGGGACCCCAATAATTCTAATTTGTTTTAATAAAGGTTGTATAAATGATTGTCTTCCTTATTTACAGTTTTTACTGGACTGTTGTATGCTGCTCAGAATCACTGTGCTTGAGATGGGGGGGCATATAAATTGGATCAATCAATCCATTCCATCCCTTGTCATGTGGATGTAACTAATCCAGTCATTCCTTATAAAGACTGGGAGGATTGCTCACACCTCCTAGGGTACAGCTGATGGCCACCGTGCCCCATTAGCACCCATTCTGTCTGAACATACTAGGACACAGGCCAAACTCCATCTTCTGCTCAGGTATTCACTTTCAGATAGTTCAAAAACTTCACTTCACTTTGACTCTCAAGACCATCTGCTCTGTGGATTAGCTACAAGGGACACAAACATGTTTTTTCCCCACCTGATGTGCAAACAACATCTATTGCTCAGTGGGTAGGACAGTAGCTTTTCCTTGCAATTACCAGAAGAACAGTAATCCTTAATGTATCCCCTGAGGATTTCGACCCACAAACATCTTCCAAGGTAAAACCTACTGTCAAAATAGGCTCTGAGTTTTCCCTGTTGTGGGGGCCTTGCTTTGTCTTCCAAAGAGCTAACTCTGGAGTTCGGTGAGACTCAGCTGGTCTTCCTGTAAAGCCCTAACACAGGTAAGAGAAAGCATGATTGATATAATAAAAGTTTATTGATTGATTAGCCTTGAAACCTTATCATTAAAATAAAATACAGCACATGATCCAATTTTGGAATAAGATAGGATGAAATAAAGGGATAAAATACATACACACATACATACACACATACACACATATATATGTACATCACATATACACATACTAAGTTTAAAGCAACTGGTGCAGAATGCGGCCGCGCGGGGGATTATGGGAGCAATGGGGCGCTCCCATGTGACACCCCTCCTGCGCGAGCTGCACTGGCTCCCGGTGGTCTTCTGGGTGCGCTTCAAGGTGTTGGTTACCACCTTTAAAGCGCTCCATGGCTTAGGGCCTGGGTACTTACAGGACCGCCTTCTGCCACCGATAGCCTCCCACTGGCCAGTACACTCCCACAGAGAGGGACTCCTCAGGGTGCCATCAGCCAGACAATGTCGGCTGGTGACCCCCAGGGGGAGAGCCTTCTCTGTGGCAGCACCTGTCCTCTGGAACGACCTGCCCCTGGAGATACAGAGGATCCCAGATCTCCGTGCTTTTCGCCATGCCCTTAAAACTTTTTTATTTCATCAAGCCGTGCTGGCTTAAACCCCCCCCCTTAGATATTTTTAATTGTTAATTGATAGAAATAAAATTATTATTATTATTATTATTATTATTATTATTATTATTATTAATTTTTTTCTATAATTTTTATTAATATATTCTATACACTAATACACAAATAAAATATACAATCCTGCTACCATGGTATAATATGATTACATTGTCCATAAGTATAAAATCATTCCTTTATACATACATATTTGCCACCATATATATATACATCATCATATATCTATTCTATCCCACCTTTTCTGGACCCAATCGTACCATACTTTCCAACTGTTATAAAATTCTGAATCTTTTTTACCATTGATCAATCTAGTTAATCTATCTGATTCTGCACACTCATTAATTTTATATATTATTTTCAAATCTATCGGTAAGTATTGATTTTTCCACTCCTGCGCATACGCTAATCTTGCTGCAGTGATAATGTGAATCAACAAGAACCATATATCTGATTTAACATTCAAAGGTTTTGCCCCCAATAGGAAAATCTCAAATTAATCTGTGTAATTTCCAAAATCCATTGCCGTATTTTTTTCCAATATTTAACCGCCTGCGGGCAGGTCCACCATTGGTGAAAATAGGTTCCATTGCTGTAACCGCACTTCCAACAGCAGGCAGATGTCCCGGGAAACATTTTAGCTAATCTCGCCGGGGGGAGATGCCACCGGTAGACCATTTTATATATGTTTTCTTTATATGAGGAGGCCATGGTTAATTTCATATTTTTCAACCAAATCTGTTCCCATTGCTGGAAGTCAAGGGGATATCCAAAATTTCGCCCCCATGCTATCATACAATCCTTCACTACATCCTGTCCTATCTGCAGAGACAATAAATATGCATAACATTTAGATAATATCCCTTTCCCTCCTTCTAATAAGATCTTATCCAATTCTTGTCTTTTACGGTAGATTCCTTCACTATGTAAATCTTTTTTATGCCTGGAGTGCACTTGAGAATAAGACCACCAGTCTATCTTATATCCTTGAAGAGTTAATAATTCTCGTGACTTCGGATTACCCTGAACATCCAAGAAACCTTCATACGTCAAGGTTTTCTCCCCTTTATACAATGTCGGGTAAACCTGAGCTTCCTGAGCCGAAATCCAACATGGAACTTTTGAATATACTCTTCTTCTAACCTTTTCCCAAGTGTACCCAAGCGTCCTACGTAAATAGTGATCATCAAAGTGTCTAGGACGACCGGATGCTCCCGGCCATAGAAAATAGTGCCAGCCATGTTGAAGACCGGCTCCCTCAAATGTCAAAAGTCGTCTCTTTTGTAGGACCATCCATTCTTTCACCCAAATCAAGTTCGCTGCTTGGTGATAGAGCTCCCAATTTGGGAGTCCAAATTTAAATTTTGTATGCGATGTTTTTACTCTTGGCTGTTCACCGCCCTGAGTCCAGTGGGAGAAGGGCGGTATAAAAATCTAATAAAATAATATTTATTTAAAATAAATAAATAAAATACAAATGTGTTAATACAGAGCGACAGCAGATAAATCTGCCCTGAGGCCATCAGAAAGACCCGGAAGCCGTCTATTGTGCTAAAGATTTCCAGTGCAATTCTGCTTCTGCACAAACTCTAATCTTGGGGGAAGCTGACTGGAATGACTGGGCTGCCTCTGCTGCTGCTGCTCTTCTGCCTCCTGCCTCCATCTATTGCTAAGAAGATTCAAACCATGGGTGTGTTGCCAGAACAGTTAAAGTTTGACGGTCCATGGGAATTTTACTGGCCTGGTGATCTGATTATTGGAGGGAATTTGCCCCTAGTAGGTCTTGGGATCCCCAATGTCCCAGGCTTTCAAAAGCACCCATCTCAACAAGAGCCGAGGTGGCACAGTGGTTAGAGTGAAGTACTGCAGCTACTTCAGCTGACTGCTAGTTCAGCAGATCAGCGGATCAAATCTCACCGGCTCAAGGTTGACTCAGCCTTCCATCCTTCCGAGGTGGGTAAAATGAGGACCCAGATTGTTGGGGGAAATATGCTATTTAGTATACTTTAATCTTTGGTGTAAGCCACCCAGAGTCCATAGTTTGGAGCGCTGACATTAAACTTTTGATAAACCAGTTTGCATATCTCTTATTCATCGCTCTCAGCAACGTTTCCTTGTGCATTTACTCTGCTGGTTGGTAACACAACACCAATATCCTTAACATTGGTTATGGGCCCAGAGCCAAACCATAACTAACAAGGATTGTTAAAAGCTAAACTGAGAGTTAATGTGAATAGTACAAACTGTGTTTGTGATAAACAATCCAAGTGAAGATGGCACTAGAACAAGCAGCAAATTTTTTTTAAGGGATAACCCAGTATTGATGGCTAAGTCTAAGTCTGTTTATAAGAATGTTAAACCACATGATGAATGTATTCATCTGTTACACCGGAGACTTGGGCATTTAAATTTCAGAACGTTAAAGAAAACAGTTCAGTTATCTGAAGGGATAAAACTACAAGCATGTAGTAAATATCTGAATTGTAATGCCTGCAATCAGCAAAAAAGTAGGGTAATACCAGCAAACGGTGTTAATGGTTTTAAAACCAAAAATCCATTAGAGGTAGTGTTTGTAGACCTAATTGGACCCAAGATACCTAGCATAGGAGGTGCCTGCTGTATTCTGAGCATAGTAGACCATTATTCAAGATACGGATTCTGTTATCTAATGAAAACAAAAAGTGAAACATTCCAGCATATTAACAACTGGCTACATTTTGTGGAAAGAAAACAGAAATTTAAGGTTAAATGCTTAGTGACTGATAATGGTACAGAATGGTACAGAATTTACCAACTAAAAATTAGAAAAGTTTTTGCAGGATGCAGGGATCCAGCATAAACGGTCTGCGCCGTATAGACCAGAGCACAATTCGTATATCGAAAGAAGAGGTCAAACATTACAAGCCATGACTAGAACTATGTTGGCAGATTCTGGTTTGCCTGAAAATTTATGGGGTGAGGCTGTTATGTGTGCTAACCATGTGTTAAACAACGTGGTTCATTCCTCTACAGGAGAAATACCATTCACCTTATGGCATGGGAGGAAAACAAATCTTAGTTACTTACACACATTTGGAGCCCCGGCTTGGGTACATATTCCATCTAGTTTAAGGAGAAAGGATCAACAGAGAGCCAGAAAAATGTTTTTCGTTGGCTATGAATCAAATCATAGATCTTTTAGATTTGGGGCACAGGGTACTACAAGTGTTTAGTGCAAGTGCTAAATTTCTAGAGCACGAAGAATGGGATAAACTAGAGTGTGCAGATTATAGACATGATAGTAATACTGTTAGTATAGAGCATCATATTCCTGATGATATTCCTGAGGATTTAGATGATGTAAAATTCTCTATCAAGGAGGAAGAACAGGAAGTAGGTTTAGAGGAGGTAGTTTTAGGGGAGGAGTCAGATTAACCATCTGCAGTAAATCCTGTTTTACCTATGAGATCTACTAGGGAAAGGCATCCACCTATCGATACAAAGCAACTGTAGTTTGCCAGGTTAACATTGAACCTTCAAGTTTTGAGGATATCAAGCTTTATCCTGAAAAGGAGCAGAATGCTTGGAAGGAGGCAATGAGTAAGGAAATTAATTCTTTAACCAAGTTACATGTGAGTACTTTTTTTTTTTTTTAATTTTGATTTATATGCCGCCCTTCTCCGGAGACTCAGGGTGGTTACAATGTGCTAAGCAATAGCCTTCATACTTTTGTATATTTATACAAAGTCAGCTTATTGCCCCCGCAACTGGGTCCTCAATTTACCTACCTTAGAAAGGATGGAAGGCTGAGTCAACCTTGAGCCTTGGTGAGATTCGAACCTGCAGTAATTGCAGCCAGCTGTGTTAATAACAGGGTGCTTTAGACCACTGTACTATCAAGGCTGTACTTTAAGGACAATGCTAGTGTGGGCGGCTAAGCATAAATATAGTATAAACCATATGGATGTAGAGACAGCATATTTGCATGCTCCATTGAGACACACCATCTATATGAGGAAGCCTTCAGGAGTTGAAATACAAAACCACACTGATTGTTGGAAATTAAATAAAAGCCTTTATGGTTTGAGACAATCAGGGTTTGAGTGGAACCAATGTATAGTGAAAGAGCTAAATAAGATAGGCTTTCATGAAGGTGTAGTGGATAAGTGTCTCTTTAAAAGAGAAAATAATGGTGTAGTATCATTTTTGTTATTGTTTACAGATGGCATCGCCATAATAACTAAAACTGACAATGAAGCCATAGATATTGTTAAACAGTTACAAACCAAATTTAAGATTAGAAATTTAGGAAATATTAGGCATTATTTGGGTCTAGATATCAATCAAACAGCTAGAGGTTATAAAATATCTCAATCTAGCAAAATAAGCCAAATGTTGAAACGTTATGGCATGGAACTATTTAAGCCAGCTAAAACGCTTATGGCACAGGATTTTCAACAAGGAGAAATCCAAAGTCCTAAATTTAGTAAGGAGATTTACCAGTCTCTTATAGGTAGTCTATCTTATATAAGCAATTGGTCGAGACCTGATATTTCATTTGGAGTAAACCAATTAGCGAGATATAATGCAGAGCCAACTGATAGGCATTGGCAGGCCGCAAAGCGTATATTAAGATATCTGAAAATGACGATGCATTATGCATTGTATCTAGAACCTAACAATGATTTAGTATTGAGTGCATATGCTGATGCCAGTTTTGCTACTGATGTGACCACCAGAAAGTCCACATCGGGTATAGCTATCATGTTAGACAATTGTTTGATTGGCTGGAAATCAATTCGTCAAAAACATATTAGTCTATCGACTATGGAGGCAGAATTCTCATGTTTGTCACTAGTTTGTACCAATTTGATTTATTACAAACAATTAATCTTGGATATTGGTTTAAAGATGGATTATCCAATTATAATACATGAGGACAACCAAGCTGCTATAAAAATGGCAACAAATTTAGCAGTTAAATAGGGTACACCTGACTGCCATCATGTCCCATCAGCACCCATTCTGTCTGAACATGGCACAGGGCAAAGTCCAACTTCTGCTCAGGTGTTCACTTTCAGGTAGGTCAAAATCTCAACTCTCAAGTCCATCTGTGGATTAGACACAGGAGACACAAACATGTTTTCCCCCACCTGATGTGCAAACAACATCCATTGCTCTGCGGGTAGGACAAGTGCTTTTCCCTGCAATTATCAGAAGAACAGTAATTCATAATGGGTCCCCTGTGGATTTCAATGCACAGAAACCTTCCAAGGTAAAACCTGCTTCCAAAAATATGCCCTGGGTTCTCCCAATGGTGAAGAATCTTGTCCGGTCTTCCAAAGAGCTAACTCTGAGCTTTGGTGAGGCTCAGCTGCCCTTTGTGTCAAAGCCGAAACACAGGTAAGAGAAGGCATGATTGATATAATGCTAGTTTATTGATTGATTAGTCTTGTGAGGTTATCATTAAAATAAATTAAAATAAAATACAGCACATAGTCTAATTTCAGAATAGGCTAGGTCGGAGCAAATAAAGTGATAAAATGCAACTGTGTTAATGCAAAAGATATATTTGCCTTGAGGCCATCCAGCTGGCAAGGCAGTCTCAACTATGTAAACCTGATGAGATTTCAAGAGCTCCCTGCAATTCAGCTTCTGCACAAACCTTGATTTCTGATCTAGCAGGGATGGTGGCCAGAATGATTGGGCTGCCTCTCTTGCTCTTCTGGCTCCTGCCCCCAATGACTGCTAAGAAGACTCAAACCATATGTGCATCACCAAAAGATTTAAACGTTCAGAATCAATGGAAATATTGCACATCTGGTGATCTGGTTATTGGTGGGAATTTACCCCTGGCAGCTCTTATGCGCTCCAGACGACAGAATTTTCAAAATGACCCAACAGAGCTCCTTCCTGATATCTCGTAAGTTTCCCATGTATGGAAAAATATAGATGATTGTTTTCTTTGTTTTGGATTCAGAAACTCCTTTTAGAAATAATTTTCTAGTGCTGTTTGTAAAGTCCTTGTGTAGTTTAGATTTTTGTCCTTTTCTCAGTAAAGAGCCAAACTCAAAAATTAGCCTAGGATTACCAGGCTTTGCAGAAGTCTTTCTCCAGAGGATTATCGACCATATGAAAGTGTGGAGGGACAACATTTTGGAGACTCTGCTGGGCTAACAATGTCATCTTATAATGCTTATGTGGACATAAAATCATGGTTAAAAACCCCCAGAAAGCTCAGTCCTTTTCCAGTGGTGGGTACTGCCAAAATCCCTGAGTTTTGGAATCAGCATTTTTCATGTCCTTTGGTCAATCTGCGCTGTGACCCCCCCCCCCACTGGAGTCTTGGGGTCAGCAATGGTGACCAGACCTGAAGAAGCTGCTCCAAGAGCACTCAAATTGATTAGGGTGGAAGAGAAGTAATTGGGGAGGATTCCAATCACTGAAGCAAAGTGAAGAAGGGAGGCATATTTTGAAAATGCAACTGAACTGATTTTTTCAGGAAAAAAACAAGATGTATCACAAATTGGGAGTGGTCAGAACCCCCAGGCTGAAAGTTTGCCTACCAGTAAAGAAGGAAGAGAAAAAGAACTAAAACACATCAAGGAATCCCTCCGAACTTATGGTTATCCTAGCTGGACCTTCATCAAATCCCAAAAATGACCCAGCATGACCTCCTTTACTACAGACAAGGGAGAGAGTAATGAACAAAGCAACGTTCTCACTCCATAGGTGGCTGCAATATCTGAAAAGCTCAAGAAGATTTTCAACCGACATCACCTATTTGTACATTTTAAGCCCAAGAATACACGAAGGCAGAAGCTTCTCCACCCCAAGGATAAAACACTCAGACACAAACTGAGCAACGTGGTATATGCAACACAATGCAGTGAGCCATGTGCAGATCTGTACATTGGGGAAACAAAACAACCACTTCAAAGCACATGGCACAATATAGGAGATCTAAGCCATCAGGACAAGATTCAGCGGTCCATCATCATTTGAAAGATAAGATTCACTCTTTTGATGATGGCAAAGTCCACCTTTTGGATAGAGAGGATTGTTGGTTTGAAAGAGGGGTCAAAGCGGCCATCTAGGTTAGAATTGATCAGCCGTCCCTCAACAGAGGGGGAGGGATAATACACCGCCTTCAGGGTTGACATAAAGATCTTATCAACAAATTCTGGTTACGACCGTTTTTTAGCAGGGGCCTCTGATCGCAGCACCTACATACAGTTCCCAAGCTTCAGCCTGGCTCATGAGATTAGAAATGTATAGAATATATTTTCTTTACAGGCTAGCAAGTCTTCTGTAGTTTCTGTTTCCCACGTTGTAACCCTGAGGTCACAGGTAAAACCCCCAAGGAACCACAATGGCTCCCAGAGAGCCTTAAGACCAGTTGACTTCAAAGAAAACACAACTTTTCCATCCCCCCCACAACATCCTATCAGTACCTTTCCATTCTCTCTCCCACCAAGTAATCTCAACCATCAAATGCTCTCCTTCCATCTCCCACCATATCCAAAACAACTGATGAAGCTTCAAGGATAGTAAGTGAAACACTTTTTATCCCCCTCAAAAATTCAGTCTAGTTGCCTTTTCAAATGAAAGCCACTTTTGATAGAACTATGTCCTGGATGACGGAGAATCCTCTTAGACATGTGAAGAACGGAGGAATCATAGAATCATATAAAATGAAGAGGGAGAGACAAGCTTTTCTTCTTTCTGACAAAGGCATTCAAATTTAATGAAGGGGCAACTTAAAAAAAACTACTTTGCAATTCGTACTTGCAAAGCAAGGCAAACTCCATCTCTCACACAACCATCTTTCCTGTAATGTTCCCCAATGTTTTTCTCACTCTAGACCCATAGCCAAGAATTACCAGCACTTCTTGGCTTTGGCTTTTGCAGTCAGAGAGGTCAACAAGGATCTGGATCTCCTGCCCAACATCACATTTGGGTTCTACATCTACGACAATTACCAGGTTGAGTTGAAGATTTCCATAATCAGCCTCTCCCTGCTCTCCACACGAGGCCGAATGGTTCCAGGTTACAAATGTGGCAGGCAGGACCCTCTGCTCTCTGTCATTGGAGGTCTCAACCCCAAATCCTCAAGGCAGATGGCCTCCATCTTCAGCCTCTTCAAGGTCCCACAGGTAAGGGGGCTGCACTGGATACAGTATGGAACACACAAAGAACAGAAACACACACAGAAGCTAAGGATGAGCACAAAGGTGTTGGGAGGAGACACATATCCAGGGGTATATAACTTTGATCATCCATCCTATTGTTGAATTGATTTCTGCATTTTATATGTCAGGATACATTTCTATAGAACCAAAAAGAAATATTGATATAATTCTGAAAGAGGAATTCCTTCCTGACTTTCATGGAAGTTTATCAACTTTCTGCACCTTTCAGTGAAGTTTATTCCCTGAATCAAGTGGATGTTTTGTTCCTTTGACTTCTGTTCTATCACAACCAGGCAAAATAGGGAACTGGGGGCTCTTCCTAAGAAGGGAGGAAGATGAAGCCTGCCATTCATAATGAGTCAGCCTGACTGGTGGGGCTAGAAACCACACAATGGGGACCCAGAAAATCAGCATTAAAATGTACTTTGTCTCTTAAAGAGGATTCTCACTTTCTCCAGCTTGGTGTTGGCTTTGAGTTCTTACAGGGAGACAGAAGAGTTTATCCTTCCTTCTTCCGGATTAATCCCAAGGAATTTCCTGAGTATGAGGGTCTAGTCCAGCTTCTCCTGTATTTCCAGTGGAACTGGGTTGGGCTGGTGGCCAACGAAGATGACGATGGAGAACTTTTCATCTCATCTCTGATGCCAATGCTGAAGGAGAAGGAGATCTGCCTGGCCTTCACTGAAATGATGAAACCTGATTTTCATGCTACTTCACGTTCGAAAGTGCACCGTATTTTCAACACTTGGTCTAAAGGCGAAGTGATTATTTTGTTTGGAGACTCCAATACTATTGCAAATGTGCAGTTCGTTGTGTATGCTTATGGAATATTTAGAAGAGCACCATTTCTGAAAGTTTGGATCTTTACATCCAATTGGAAAATTAACGGGCTGAACCCTCAATGTATATTGCAAATTATAAAGCCCTTCCATGGGGCTTTGCATTTTAGGCACCACACTGGAGATATCTCAGAATTCAGCCGTTTTCTCCTGTCTTTAGATCCTTTGAACCCACAAGGCAATTTCTTTCTCCCAGAATGGTGGGAAATTGTCTTTGACTGCAGCATCCACAAACCAGGCAAGACCCCTCAAAAGGGGAGAAAACCATGTACAGGAAAAGAGGATTTACTGAATCTGCCATCCTACTTGTTTGAAAGAAGCATGACAGGTGAAAGCTACAATATCTACAATGCTGTTTATGCCCTAGCACACGCATTAAATGCAATGCATGGATCTGGAGGGCGGCCAGCCATGCTGAGACTTGGAGAGAGGATCTCAAATGTCCAGTCATGGCAGGTAATTTCCGGGTGTCAAATCTGCCACCTTGCTCCTCCTTTTGCCTTGCTTCAGTGCCAGCCTGCCATAGACGCAGGGGGGAGGGAAGCTTTTTGTTAGGGGGAATGGAGTTCCTCTGGTGTACTTTGGGCTTGCCGGAGAAAACATCTCAAGGACAACCGGCCAGAGAGAACAGCCAAAACATCTCTTTTGATTATGATTGGGCATGAGAGGCCAATGGGAAGGCAGACCTGGGAAACAGTGGGAGTTTGCTAGGAAATTGACACGGGATCCTTGCCTTACTGTACTTCCCTTGACTTTAGCAGAACTATACCTCACTCTCAAAATGAAGTTATGGATTGTTTCTGCTTTCTGAGTTCAAGTCAAGACAGGTCTTTTTATCCAGGCCACAGATCTTTAGAGAGAAAGTTCCCCATGTCTATTTCTTGAATTAAATATCTGTATGGCATCATATCACTGAGTCAAATCTGTCAAACCAAATTGAAACTACTTTTTTTTAAAAAAAAAATCAAGTGAATGAAAGAGAAATAAATCAAATTGGTTGCCCATGAGATTCATGTAGGAAAGACCTTCCTAAAAGTTCCTCCAAGGTTGCCTGAGCTTCATAAGTGGTTCTTCCATGGAGGAAGCATCATCTCAGGGCAACAGAGAACATAGAGCAAGATGGCAATTCTGCCTGAAGCGTCAACAGTCCTAGTGGGCATATTTGCAGAACCATCTTAGTCTTTCTAAGGAGGAAGCCTGAATGCCACTTTTTAAAAAGACACTCGACTCAGTTCATTGGAACCTTGGCTTATGTTTCTCTGGCTAAGCATGCCGTGTGACCCTCTGCATGTAATTAATTTGCCATTTGTTGCACTGAACATCTTGTTGTGTCAAATCAACCTCTGTCAACTTTAAAACACACACAACAGGATTCAACCTACCCTGAAACGCATCAGGTTTCTTTTCTGCATCAAAGACTACAAAATGGATCTCTCTGGCCAGGGAAGTCACAAAGCAGGGCAGGCACTGTGAGGAAACCAGATTCTTAGAGGGATGGGAGAGGATGAACAAAATAAAAGTGTCTATGACAACATTTCTATGGCAACGTAACTGATACATTTCTTTACAAGGCACGAATTTTTTTCCTTGGAGATAATAGAAGTTTGGAGAAGCAACTTGAAGTTTGTTAAACATAAAAATTTATGCTTATTTAGTTTATTACTTATGCATTTGCATGAAGGTATCATTTTCTCCTCCTTTAATAAATGTAATAAGTTCATCCTTTTCTCTGCAGGCGTCCGTCCCATTACTTCTGGAGAGAATTCCTCCAGTGTGCATCTTAATAATAAATAAAGTCGTGAGTCTTGATTATTTGTTTGGCTCCTGCATTTTGATCCCATAACAATTCCTCAATGAGTTACCAGTTGCTCTTTCGTTCTATGTTCTTTTAGCTGCCAACTTTTTCTAGCCAGGAAGGCAGCATAACCACCATTCCTTCCCAGCCTTTCCCTTTTAAGGATTGGAAATTCTGGCCCATTTTCCAGGGTTTAACTCCCTTTTACCCACATTTTGCCCTCTATTGCCCTCTCCCTTCCAGCCTTGTTTCTTGTACTATAACCTTCCAATATTCCATTTGACTGAGTTGCTTCTCCATCACACAGTCCTTGGGAGGGAAGAGCTTCTTGTGGCCGGATGGCTGTAGCTGGTCTGCATTTTAGGAAGGCTTGTATGGCTTAAGGCTCTGCTATACTTTGCTCAGCTGAGGTAGCTTCAGAGACCCTTTCCTCACCCGACCAAACACCTCCTCCAACTTTTAATTCTCCACCTCAACGTCCTTTCTCTCTTCCACCCATTCCCTCTGCCCTTCAGTGCTTCCTCGGTGTAGAGTTTTGTTTTTGTAGTTTTGTAAGTTGGAAAAATTAGTAGGATTAGGGGTGATGTGATAGTCTTCCAACATCTGAGGTGCTGTCACAGAGAAGAGGGGGTCAACCTGTACTCCGAAGCACCTCAGGGCAGGGCAAGAAGTAACAGATGAAAGATTAAGAGAGATCCAACCTAGAACCTAAAAAACCATTTTCTGACCTTCTTAATTAGAAACATAGAAACTGTCTACTCTGAAGCTGGCCTGACGGAGGCCATTTTGACACTTCAGCACTGACACACTGGAGCTGAGAGATAGGGAGGGGGGAATAGAGATAGTTGGGGTGTTGTAGCCAAAACAAAATACTTTCTCTTGGGAACCAAGGACGCTCCTGCAGGTGCTCAGAAGGAGGGGACTGGAGTTACCTAGCAACTGGACAGTAACCTGATTGGACCATGTTGTTTTGGGAAAGTGAAAAACTTTTATTTTTAATTAAGTGAAAACTGCGGGAATAGTCAGAGTCGGTTTTCACCAGCTTGTGCCAATATGATATATCCAATAAAATCATTCTTTGAGGAATCTATCTGCCTCAGAGTTTTGTTTGCTGTGGGAATGTTACTTGGAATCTGACAGAAACATAGAAAATGGACAGCAGAAAAAGACCTTGTGGTCCCTCAAGTCTGAGTTTATTCATTTTTTATTTTTTTTTAAGTTATATATTATTATTCTTTAATTATTATTATTATTATTATTTCATTTTTTTATTTATGTTGGAGGGTGGACATGTGTTTATCCCAAGCATCTTTAAACTCAGCTACTGATGATTGACCCACAACCTACGCTGGGAGTGTCTTCCAAGCTTCCTCTACTCTTTCTGTGAAGGAATCCTTCCTAACCTTGTTTCTGAACGTCCCTCCTGTCAGTTTGAAGTCATGTCCCCCATGTTCTTCATTCTTGCTTAGAATGGACAATCATGCCTTCTAGAACCCTATTCACAACCTTAATCGATTTAAAGGTTTTAATCATATCCCCTCTTTCCCTTCTGTCCTCCGGCTGTCCGTATCCAGTAAAATCTCCTAAGATGTGACCAACCCAGAACGATAGAAGCCATGATGTCTCATTTGGGGCTTTCAGCCAACTATTCCAATGCCTGAAGGTCTCTTTTCTTTCAGCTTCTTCCCCACTTGAGGGATGTCCACTTCAACAACAGTGCTGGAGATGAAATCTCCTTCTCAGAAAATGGATTGGGATCTGCTGGTTATGATCTCCTCAACTGGATTCTCCTCCCCAATTTATCATTTGTCCCCATGAAAGTTGGGCAAATAGATCCCAGGTCTCCCCCAGGCCAGGATTTCACTATAAACTCTGATGCTATTGTCTGGCCAAGAAAGGTGAGCTGGAAGGTCAAATGGATTCAGCAAAAGACTCGTTCTCTTCTGGGGATTAAAAACGTCCTCCTTACTGAAAAACAGGTCACTGAATCAAAAATTCGGCAACCATCGGTTTATTTTGCATGTAAAATATTTGAGATTTTGCTTGAAACCCAGGATGCATTTAGAACAGCCAACAGTGATTTCCATAGATGATTCCCATTCAATTAGATTCCTGTGACTGTTTGTTTTAGGAAAGCTCTAGCTCAATTCCCACGTCTTCCTTTATATGCCAAGTCCCAGTTCCCATCTCCAGAATCCATTGGTGGTTTGGAGTGGCACTGCCCTTAATCCCCCTATAGGATTTCCTGGGTTCTGATAGATCCTAACTAACCATTTCCTTTGGAGACATTTTGACAATGGAAACAAAAATGTACAAATGAATAAATGAAGAATATTGACTGCTTTAGACCACCAGCAATATTTCTCTTTTCTCTTTCAGAAGGTGCCCTTTGCCAGGTGTGGCATGAAGAGGTGCCAGGCAGGGGAGAGGAGGAGAGTTCCAGAGGGAGAACCGGTTTGCTGCTACCAATGTGCCCCTTGTCCAGAAGGAACCATTTCTAATCAGACAGGTAGAGCACACTTTCAGTGTAGATCTTCCAAGATCAAGGAAAACATTCAGTAGAAACAAATATCTATTTTGTTGTCATGTTTGGTAGTTTGCCATTATTCAAAATATTCATCCTTTTCAGCAGAATTTCTGAGTTGACTTTCCTGCTCCACAGCAATTTATTTTTTTAATTTATTTTTTTTATTGATTTTGCAACACAACACAACATACAAAACACAAACACATGATATGTGTTCTTTTCACATATCAGTTTCGTTCCTCTTACTTTCTACTATATACATTCCCCATTTTTCCCATCCTTTATTATCTTTATAATAATTATAATTATAATTATCTTTATCGTCCCTTTATTTTTAATTTTCTTCATTTACAATATTTTACACATTTGTCACCTTCTCTTCATCATTTATTCACATTTACTTTCCCTAATCTTGAGCCAATCGTACCACTTAGTCCATACTTGATAATATTCTGAATCTTCCTTTTCTTTTCTTTCTTTCGTTAATTTATCCATCTCCACACAGTCCAGTATTTTCTTAATTATTTCTTCCTCTGTTGGGATGTTTTCACTTTTCCAGGACTGTGTGTAGACTATCCTTGCTGCTGTAATTATATGCTGAATCAAATATCTAATTTAAGTTCTGTTCAATATCCCCAGTAAAAACGTTTCTGGTTTCCAATCCACATTATAGCCAATTATCTCTTCTATCCAACTTCTAATTTCAATCCAATATTTTTTCACATTGGGACATGTCCACCAGAGATGCTAATATGTTCCGGGGATTTTTTTATATTTTCAACAATTTGGAGAATTGTTTGGAGACATTTTAGCAAGTCATACTGGTGTAAAATGCCATCTGTAGAACATTTTTAACTGGCTTTCCTTGACTGCCATTGAAAGAATCGATTTAATGTTTATTTCCCATAATTTTTCCCATTTCTCCAATTCTATATTGTAGCCAAAATTTTTGGCCCATCTAATCATGGTATCTTTAACTATATCTTCTTCCATTTTATACTTCAGTAGATATTGATATATATTACTAATTAATTTTATCTCTGTTCCATGAATAATTTTATCTAATTCTTGTGGCTCCTTTTGTATTTCATATATCTTTTTATCTCTTACAAATTTAGATTGCACTTGTGCAAATGTCCACCAATCCATCACCCTACCAATTTCTTGTTCCAATTCTTCTTTCGTTTTCAAATCTCCCTGATCATTTACCAATTCCTTATATCTAATTATCTTATTTTTTTCCAATAAATTTGGGTATATCAATGCTTCTGTTGGTGATAACCACTTTGGGATTCTAGTATACTGTTTGTTTTGTTTTTTTCCAAATCTGTAGCAATGCATTCCTGATCAAATGTGTTTGAAAATATTTATGTGATTTGTATTTCTCATCCCACAGGAATGCATGCCACCCTGCTTGCAGGTCATGGCCTTCTATTGTTAGTACTCTGTTATTTTTCAGCTCCATCCAGTCTTTTAACCATACTAAACTCGCTGCTTGGTGATAAATTTCCCATTCTGGTAATGCCAATCCCGTCTATCCTTTGTATCTTGCAAAAGTTTTTTGCAAGGGCCTGGTGGCTCAGCAGACTGATAGCATTGTGATTAACACCAGCTGTCTGCAATTAAAGTAAGTTCGAATCTCCCCAGGCTCAAGGTTGACTCAGCCTTCCATCCTTTCTAAGGTAGGTAAATTGAGGACCCAGTTTGTGGGGGCAATAAACTGACTTTGTATAAATATACAAAAGGATGAAGGCTATTGCTTAACACACTGTAAGCCGCCCTGAGTCTCCGGAGAAGGGCGGCATATAAATCAAATTTTAAAAAAAAAGTTTTAATTTAATCCTGGGTTTTTTCCCTTGCCATATAAATTTGGAAATTAATTTATTTAATTCTTGAAAGAATGTTTTCCATAGTTTTAATGGTATCACTTGAAACAGAAATAAAATTCTCTGCAATTTAATTAATTTAATTTAAACAGCAATTTAATGCACGATAGTTTCAGGGCACAATTCATGGATTCCCTTACTAGATTTTCTAGTCCTTCTCTTGCAACCCATCAGAATAACCACTGATTGATCTTTTCATGAGAGTGGGTCGTGAGGGCCAAGCTTTAATTTTTATTGTTTAAGATATGCTTCTTCTGTCAGCACTTTCTGTCTCCCAGGAGGTGGATAGACCTGTTGGAGAAAGGAGAGATCCGTCTAACTTTGTCTGCCAGCCCTTCCCTGTAGAAGAAAATAATCAGAATGAGTTGATCCAAAATACAGAGCAGAGAACTTGATTGTCCCAAAGGTGCTTTTTCAAGAGGAAACTGGACTTTCTGAGTTTTCTTTGAAGACATTTCACTTCTGGGATGATAATCGAAATGTCTTCAAAGAAAAACCAGGAAGTCCAGTTGCCTCTTGAAAAAGAACCCTTTGGGACAACCATGACCTGGATGACTGTGAATCTCTATAGACATTTAGAGAACTTGATCCTTGTCTCAGGCGAACCTATCCCCAGGATAATCAGTATTGAAGGATGATTGGTCCTTTTTGATATACCACCAAATGTAAAGTGACGTTTGATTTCAGATGCAGCTTCCTGTGATCCCTGCCCAGAAGACCAATATCCCAACAAGGACAAGATCCAGTGCATTGCCAAGAAGATCCACTTTCTCTCTTATCAAGAAACCCTTGGATACACTTTAGTTTCTCTCACTGTTTCTCTCTCTGTGATCACATCTACAGTCCTTATGATTTTCCTTAAACATCGTGACACACCAATTGTCAAGGCCAACAACCGAGATCTCACCTACATCCTCCTGGTCTCCCTCCTTCTGTGCTTCCTCTGCTCCTTCCTCTTCATTGGTCAACCCACAAAGCTCACCTGTCTCTTCCGACAAACTGCCTTTGCCATTCTCTTTTCCCTTGCAGTTTCCTCTGTCTTGGCAAAAACTGTCATGGTGGTTCTGGCCTTCATGGCCACCAAGCCAAGGAACAGGACAAGGAAACTCTTAGGAAAGCCACTGACCAATTCCATTGTTTTAGCCTGTCCCCTGATTCAAGCAATTATTTGCACCATCTGGCTGGTAACCTCTCCCCCATTTCCCAACTTGGACTTTCATTCCTTGGTAGGAGAAGCCATTTTGGAATGTAATGAAGGCTCAGCTTTGATGTTTTATGCTGTCCTCGCCTACCTGGGTTTCGTGGCCAGTGTCAGTTTCACGATGGCCTTTTTGTCCAGGAAATTGCCTGACAGCTTTAATGAAGCCAAATTCATTACTTTTAGCATGCTGGTCTTTTGCAGTGTTTGGATCTCATTCCTCCCCACCTACCTGAGCACCAAAGGGAAGTCCATGATGGCCGTGGAGATCTTCTCCATCTTGGCCTCTGGGGCTGGTCTCTTGGCTTGCATTTTTTTCCCCAAATGCTACATTATCCTCCTGAGGCCTGATCTGAATCAGAGAGAAAATATAATGGGGCACAAGACTCTCTGATTTATGCAGTGATTGGAAACTTTTATTTTGATTTTTTAAAATCTCATTTGTTAAAAATAATGAATATTAAATAATTGGTAATCAAATGATTTGCCTGATCATAAAATATCAGTTAAACATCTTTCATTTTTCATTTACCCTTGTTGTCCTCAGTGAGGCTCCAATGATCAACTTGGAAGTATACCTTGGTAGAAAAGATATATTACTTATAAGTTTTTAAAGTTTATGACTTTGAAAGGCATGAAGGTTTTGTATTTCTAATATCAGCAGATATCAGCTGTATCATTCATTTGTTCTGAATATCCAAAGTAGATGAGTAAAATATAGGAAATACTTAATAGAGTTAATGGAGTTAAGCAAATTAAGAAGAGGATGTAAAGTATTAGATATTTAATGTATTGGTATTAAGCTAAGAATAGATTAAATAATGAATATGATTGTAAATTTTAACTGATATTGCACAAACATTTGTACCCAGATGACCAGATGCAAAAAGGGGGGGGGGAATTGGGGAGGATTTTTAAAGGGTGCCCCATACAGGTACCAGGTCAATTTGAGAAAGGTAGAGAAACTTTCCTCCCTGTATGTGTTTAGTGTATTTAGTTTTACAGTTTAATCTGACCTTCATGGTGTTTTGATTTTAGATTTAGAGTTGTCCAGAGTTGGTTATAAGATTGTTGGCAATACAATGTTTTGCTTTGGTTTTTAATTAATTTATCAGAATATAAAATACAAAGGAAAATGAAAGTAGTGGAAACTAGAGGAGGGAAAAAGGGAAAAAGAAAACGTGTGGGATAGAGAGGTGAAAAAAGCATTGACTTCCAACTCTTTTTTAGCACAGTAGAAGATAATAACATTTTTTTACTTTTACACAGTAATAAATACTATCCATTTCTATAACAAGAAACCTAACTAATCAGCAAAGTCAAAATCAAAGTTTTATTTTTCCCCCATCACAAGCACAAAATCCAGAAGCGATTTCCAAACAAAATTAGATATATAATATATATTTCTATTTCCAATTATTGTAGATTTTTGTCATTCATATTAACAAAATTCACTCTATTATTTCAGATTCTTTAAACTTAAAGGGGAAAAAACATTTTTTACATTCATTTTAAAACACTAAACTTTTCTTTAAAAACATTTCTAAAATCAATAAATTCTAGTACATCTTAAACTTCCTCTTAACATATGTACTTTAAGAGTCACTTTCAATTATATTCTACAAACTTAAAAAATTATTCAAGCATTTTATATGAAGAGAAAAAACCCATTTTCAAACCCACTTTTCAAACAGCAAAAACTATATTAAAGTATTCTTTCAATTACATTTATCAGACAAATAAAAACCCACCTAACTCCAATTACCTCATTAAATTTAAGTCACTCCCTAAAATTTATCTTCAAAGAATAACATCCTTTTCTTCTCTGGAATGTCAATAAAATAAATATAAACTTTTCTTTTTCTAAAAGAATTCTCCACCTTTTTAGTATCCATGAAGAAAAGGTCCCAAGTTTTGCAAATTCACTTGGAAATCTTTCATTTATCCTTCCTTCTTCCGGATTAATCCCGAGGAATTTCCTCAGTATGTGGGTTTTTCTAATCATTCTAGCCTAATGATGCTTTTAATTTTTGTGGAGTTTAAAAATCAGTGCCTCAAAAGCTGGGGGGGGGAATGAGCCCCTAAAAGGCAGCTAGGACCTGCATTTAACCCCCTTTTTTCTAAAAGCATCATTAGGCTAGAATGATTAGAAATTAAAAGCCTTTTTTATTTCACAGCCCCCCAAAGTAGAGTTTTGTTTACCAAAAACACAGGCCTCTGTTAATTATTCACTTTACTTAGCTATTGATTTATTGATTTATTGATTTATTGATTTATTGATTTATTGATTTATTGATTTATTGATTTATTGATTATTTAATTTTGAATGTCCATAGAATTAATCTAGGGTTAAACTAATCATGTCCCCAGAGGCTTGACTGACCCATCTTTCTTGATGGGGGTAGGTTTACCATGTCTTATCTGAAAATAGCACCACACCTTATCTGTTAGGTTTCCTCATGCTTACCTTGATGGGCTTAGGTCAACGCATCACATCCGGCTAGGGTTATGACCTTGTGAGTCCTGCACCACGTGGGGGTGGATTATGCACATCACATCCGGGGAGGGGGGGCTGAGCACATCACTTCTGTTTAGGGGCATGATCTGGTGACGTAATCATCACGTGGGTTTGTTTACTTTGATGACATCACTGATCAAAAGTACTGATAATTTTCATCAAAATTTGGTATACACTATATCTACTGATGGATATAGAAGTTTCCACTCCAACTTTGTCCAAACACAATAAGCCCACGCTAGCTAAAATGACATTGAGGTTTTCTTGTTTTTGCTCACTCTATTTGGCTCTATGAGACCCACTTAGAAGGGCCTCCAAGGAGCCTTTCAATTTTATTCAAACATACAAATACTTCAACTAGAAAGAACTCTGTTTTGCCTTATACCTCCCTCCCTTTTATCCCAAAAAGCTCAGCCTTTAATTATTCTGTTTTCTAATGTTGCATTAACTTTTCATCATTTGCAGTACTTTCTGTCTTGAGCAACTGAGCTGGTAGTCTTAGCACTTAACATCAGATGATGCCAACAGTTCCCATCACAGGCTGTGAGGATTGGTCATCCAGTCAGGAGAATGTCTGTGACTTTGACCAATGCAGTTGAGATGGGTGGTCATATAAATTTGATCCATCCATCCATCCATCCATCCATCCATCTCCTGCCTTGTGGATATAACTAAACCAGTTATTTCATCTAAACACTGGGATGACTGCTCTCACTTCCTAGGTTGCAGCTGACTGCCCCCATGCCCTACTAACACCCTTTCTGTCTGAGTATACTATGGCCCAGGACAAACTCCATCTTGTGTGCAGGTGTTCACTTCCAGGTAGGTCAAAAGCTCAACTTCACCTTGACACTCAAGACCATATGCTCTGTGCATTAGCCACCAGAGAGACAGACATTTCTTTCACTATCTGATGTGCAAACCACACCTATTGCTCAGTGGGTAGGACAATTGCTTTCCCCTGCAATTAGCAGAAGAACCGTAATTCTTAATCTCTCCCCTGTGGATTTCAACCCACAAACAACTTCCAAGATTAATCCTATTTGTAAAAATACACGCCGAGTTCTCCCAGGGCTGGAAGGACCTTGCCTGGTCTACCAAAGAGCTAACTCCAGGGTTTGGTGAGGCTCAGCTGCCCTTCAGGTCAAAGCACAAAGACAGGTAAGAGAAAGCATGATTGATATAATTGTAGTTTATTGATTGATTAATCTTGCAACCTTATCATTAAAATAAAATACAGCACATAGTCTGGCTTCAGAATAAGAAAGAGAGGAGGAAATAAAGTGATAAAATGCAAATCTGTCAATACAAATAGTCAGAAGACAAAATTTCCCTGAGGCCATCCAGCTGGCAAGGCAGCCTCAGCTATGTAAATCTGGTGACATTTCAAGAATCTCCCTGCAATTCAGCCTCTGCACAAATCTTGATTTCTTGACTTCTGATCTAGGAGGGAAGGTGGGAAGGATGGCTGGGCTGCCTCTCCTCCTCCTGCTGCTGCTCCTCTGGCTCCTTCCCCCAATGGCTGCTGGGGAGATTCAAAGCATGTGTGCATTGCAAAAAGGCTTAAACGTGCAGAATCCATGGGAATTTTACAGGCCTGGTGATCTGATTATTGGGGCGAATTTTCCCCTGGCAGTTCTTGCGTTGTCCCTTGTCCCAAGCTTTCAAAATTACCCATTAGTGTTTGCTTATCAAACCTCGTAAGTTTCACCTGGAGGGGAAAGAGGTAGCTGATTTTTTTTTCCTTTCTTTTGGATTCAGGGCCTCTTTTAAAAATGCTCGCTCCAGTCTTGTTCAGGTCTTTGTCCTTTTCTCAATAAAAAGGCTCAGGAAATGGGCTGGAATTCTCAATTATTTCCAGAAGTCTTCATCAGGATGGTGATAATGCATATAAAATTGGGGAGGGGCAACACCTTAGAGACTCTGCTGGCCTAGTCAAGAAGTTGACTTAGAATAAAAATGTGGACTTAAAATCATGGTTAAAGGAACCTGAAAGCTCAGTCCTTTTCCAGTGGTGGGTACTGCCAAAATCCCTGAGTTTAGGAATCAGCATTTCTCTCATGAATAATGGACTGCAGTAAATCTGCGCTGTGATCCACCCACTGGACTCTTGTGGTCCTCAATGGTTACCAGACCTGAAGAAGCTGCTCCAAGAGAGACTCAGTTATACTCACTAAAGCAAAGTGTAGAAGGGAGGGTGATGGAATTGTATAAAATGGTCCATGACATATAAAGAGAGCCCTTCTCTTCTCTCACTAAACCATAGAAGTTTAGTCAAGGAATATTTATTTCAAAAACTCAATGAAACTTGGGACTTGCTGTTGCAGACGAAACCAAAAATATGGCAATGCAAACTCTGCCAGCAGACTCCAGCTTCCTTGTTACGTTCCCCAATATTTTTCTTCCCCCACTATAGAGCCATCCCCAAGAACTACCAGCAGTTCCTGGCCTTGATGTTTGCAGTGAAAGAAGTCAACAAGGATCTGGTTCTCCTCCCCAACATCACCCTTGGCTTCCACATCTACGAAAATCACCAGACGGAGAGCAATAATACTTTATTCAGCCTCTCCCTGCTCTCCACACGAGGCCGAATGGTTCCAGGTTATAAATGTGACAGGCGGGACATTCTGCTCTCTGTCATTGGAAGTCTCAACCCCAAATTCTCAAGGCAGATGGCCCCCATCTTCAGCCTCTTCAAGGTCCTGCAGGTAAGTCAGGAGGTTCCATTCGATACACCGTGGAGTAGACAAAAAACACAACTGCAACAGAAGTCAAAGATGAAAGAAAAGGTGTTCACGGGGGGTGGGGGGAGACATATTAGATGTATATGATTTAGATAATCCGTGGTATAGTTCAATCGATTTGTATATTTTACACGTCAAGATGCATTTTTATTCCAGAGGTTTTGTCTTCCGAACTTTTGAACTCGTGCTGTAGCCCATCTTCAGGAACTTCTCCCTGCGAGAAGGTATTGATATAATATGGAAAGAGGAATTAATTTCTGACTTCTACAAAAGTTTATTATCTTTCCACACCTTTCAGTGCAGTTTATTCTGTGTATGAAGTTTGTTTCTTTGATCTATCACAACCAGGCAAAATAGGGAACTGGTGGCTCTTCCTAGGAAGGGAGGAAGATGAAGGCTGCCACTCACTATGAGTCAGCCTGACTGGTGGGGCAATCAACCATACAATGGGCACCCTTAACGTCAGCCTTAAAATGTACTTTGTCTCTTAAAGAGGATTCTCCTTTTCTCCAGCTCGGCATTGGTTTTGAGTTCTCTCAGGGAGACAGAAGAGTTTATCCTTCCTTCTTCCGGATTAATCCCAAGGAATTTCCTCAGTACGTCGGTATAGCCCAGCTGCTCCTGTATTTCCAGTGGAACTGGGTTGGGCTGATTGCCTCTGAAGATGAAAATGGAGAACATTTCATCTCATCTCTGGTGCCAATGCTGAAGGAGAAGGAGATCTGCCTGGCCTTCACTGAAACGATGAAACCTGATTTTTATACTACTTCCGGTTCAAAATTACACCATATTTTCAACACTTGGTCTAAAGGCGAAGTGATTATTCTGTTTGGAGACTCCAGTACTATTGCAAATGTGCAAGCCGTTGTGTACCTTTATGAACAATTGAGAAATGCGTCATTTCTGAAAGTTTGGATCTTTACTTCCAATTGGAAACTTATTATGCTGAACGCTCAATATACATTGAAAGTTATAAAGCCCTTCCATGGGGCTTTCCATTTTAGGCACCAGACCGGGGATATCTCAGAATTCAACCATTTTCTCCTGTCTTTAGACCCTTTGAACCCAGGAGGGGACGTCTTTCTCCCACGGTGGTGGAAAACTGTCTTTGACTGCAACATCCACGAACCAGGCAAGACCCCTCCAAAGAGGAGAAAACCATGTACAGGAAAAGAGGATTTATTGAATCTGCCATCCTACTTCTTTGAAAGAAGCATGACAGGTGAAAGCTACAACATCTACAATGCCATTTATGCTGTGGTACACGCACTACATGCCATGCATGGATCCAGAGGGCGACCAGGCATGCTGAGACTTGGAGAGAGGATCTCAAATGTCCAGTCGTGGCAGGTAATTTCTGTGATTTTCTTATCCAGTCCGCAGGTCTTTAGAGAGGAAGCTCCCGATGTGTATTCCTTGAATTAAGCCTCTGTATGGCATTATATTACTCCATCAGATCTGCATCAAATCAGATTGAAACAGTAACTATTTTTTAGAAAAGTAATGAGGGGAATCCACCTATACTCCAAAGCACCTGAGGGCAAGAGAAGAAAATTCCTGACAGGGAAAATAATTAGAAACACAGAATCATAGGAGGCTGACAACAGAAAAAGACCTTGTCTCAGGTGTGCCTCCTTTCAGTACTCAAGAAAGGAAAACCCCAACTCCATTTTCATTGAGAAAGGTGCTTTTACTGAGTATGAACTGAATGCAACCATAGAAAAGCAAGAGCCTTGCAAGGAGCCTTCGTGGCGCAGCAGACTAAAGCACTGTTAAGTAAGACCAGCTGCCTGCAATTACTGCAAGTTCGAATCTCACCAGGCTCAAGGATGACTCAGCCTTCCATCCTTTTGAGGTAGGTAAAATGAGGACCCGGATTGTGGGGGCAAGAAGCTGAATAAGCTGACTTTGTATAAAGAAACCATCGATGCAAACTAAACGCTGCCATCTACTGGCTAAATAATTCTGTAATTAATTCTGTTGCAATACAGAATACATTCTAACATGTATTCCGACTACTCCGAATGGAGCATAACCAAAGCCCTTTATAGTGGGATTAGGACCTCCCTTTTCCTGCTGGTGATTCCTCTAGTGACGCATCCCAGAATTTTGTTTAATCAGCGGAACAGCCTGCCTCCAGAATTTGTGGGCACTGCAGAAAAGAGATTTTTTTTGTAGCGGAAGTAGTTAAAAACTTGGTATTACTCCAGCATGATAGAGGCCATGATGTCTCATTTGTGGATTTCAGCCAATTGGTCCAATTTCTTCCTTCAGCTTCTTTCCTATTTGAGGAATGTCCACTTCAACAATAGTGCAGGAGATGAAGTCTTCTTCTCAGAAAATGGACTGGGATCTGGTGGTTATGATCTCCTCAACTGGGTTCTCCTTCCCAATCTATCTTTTGTCCCTGTGAAAGTTGGACAAATAGATCCGGGGGCTCCTCAAGGTCAGGATTTCACTATTAACTCCGATGCAATTGTCTGGGCAAAAAAGGTGAGCTGGAAGGTGAAATAAATCAAGAGCCTTGATAGTACAGTGGTCTAAGCACCCTGTTATTAACACAGCTGCCTGCAATTTACTGCTGGTTCGAATCTCTCCAATGCTCAAGGTTGACTCAGCCTTCCATCCTTTCTAAGGTAGGTGAAAGGAGGATCCAGTTTGTGGGGGCAATAAGCTGACTTTGTATAAATATACAAAAGTATGAAGGCTATTGCTTAATGCATTGTAAGCCGCCCTGAGTCTCCGGAGAAGGGCGGCATATAAATCAAATTAAAAAAAAAATTCAGCAAAAGGCTCATTATCTTCTAGGGATTCAAAACATCCTTCTTACTGGAAAATAAGTTACTGAATCAAAACCTCGGCAACCATTTGATGAAGAACCTGTTTTGCATGTAACAGATTTGAGGTCTGATTAGTGACAGCTCAAAAGGGGTTGAGATTACGAAGAAATTCTATTTTAAATCCAAGATGCACTTTGAATCAGGATTCTAAGTAATAGACCCATAGCAAGCAAAACTCCGTGGCAGGTAGATTCCTCAAAGAATAGCTTTATGGGATATATCATATTGGCACAGATCTAGTGAAAACCGACTCTGAGGGTTCCCGCCGTGTTCACCAAATTAAAAGTAAAAGTTTGTCACTCTCTCCAAACAATCAGTCACACGGTCCAACCATGGTTCAGCTCAGTTGCCTGGCGACATCACTCCTCCTTCCTTTGTTTGTTTGTTTTATGTTTGTTTTGTTTTATTAAATTTATATACCGCCCTACTCCCGAAGGACTCAGGGCGGTGAACACGCACAGAATAAAATACATAAATACAAAAGTTGGAAACAATTTAAAATCAGATTAAATAATTTAGCCCAAGACAATTAAAAATCCCAATAATTTAAAACAAATTAAAATTTCAGTTTAAAAAATTAAAAGAAAGGGGAGAAAATTAAGCCAGGCTGGCTTGCTGGAATAGGAGGGTCTTAAGAGCACAGCGGAAAGTGTGCAGATCCAGGATCCTCCGTATCTCCGGGGGGAGCTCGTTCCAGATTGGAATTCGGGCTGTGGGTATGGGGGATAACCCACAAGGGGGAGGGTCGGGTCTGGCAGTGAAGCGTGGTGTGGGGGATGGAGGACCCGGGATCGAGGGGGGGGTTAGAGCTTGTCCGGATAGTTTTTTGAACATCAGTACTGTAGGTGGGAGGGGTAGATATGGCGGGAGCAGGGGGCCATATCGTGTTAGGGGAGTGCGCACTCGCTGTCTACGAGCGGTGGCGTGCTCCGGCCCCCAAGGCTCTACTCGCTCCTCAGGTTGCATAGACCCTCAGGACCCAGGCCTTCGGCTGATGCTGTGCAATGCCAGGTCCGTAGTAAATAAAGCTCCCCTCATCTGTGATCTTGTTCAGGAGGGGGGTGCGGACCTGGTTGGGCCAGGAGGGGGGGGTTCCCCTCGTTGAAATGTGCCCGCCAGGTTTCCAAGCATTCCATCAGCCGAGGTCACAGGGGAGGGGCGGGGGGGTAGCGGTTATCATTAAAGAAGGTCTGAGACCGAGGGAGGCCACTGTTCCTCAGACGGCCGGCTGTGAATCCCTTTTTGTGAAATGGGGTCATGGGGTTCAGATGGGTTTGCTGATCACGTACCTGGCTCCCTGCCACGTGGCAACAGCCCTGCCCGAGCTACTCAACGTCATCGCCGCGGTGGCGGTTGATACCCCTAAGCTTATGGTTATGGGGGATTTCAACCTGCCGTCCGTGGGTGAGACGTCAGAGATGGCTCGGGAGTTCATGGCTTCCATGACAGCTATGGACCTGACCCAGTTAATTCATGGCCCTACCCACACAGGGGGAAACACGCTGGATCTGGTTTTTGTCTCTGGACAGTGGTTGAGGGATCTTGATATAGGGGATATAGTTACTGAACCCTTGTCATGGTCAGATCACTCTCTCCTTCGTCTCGACTTTCGAACCGCTGCACCCCGCCGCAGGGAGGCGGAGCCGGTCAGATGGTTCCGCCCCAGGCGCCTGATGGAACCTGACAGATTCCAGACGGAGCTTGGGCCATTTCCTGAGGTTCTGGCACACGCCTCGACTGGAGACCTGGTGGCCGCCTGGGATAGGGCGGCTGCTGGTGCTCTGGATCGGGTCGTGCCTTTGCGGCCTCTGACCCGGCGCCGATCTCAATTGGCTCCTTGGTTTACCGAGGAGCTGAGGGAGTTGAAGCGCCGGAAAAGACGCCTAGAGAGTAGTTGGAGGGCCAGTCTTCTTGAATCTGACCGGACACTAGTAAGATCCCACATTAGGAATTACTTAGTGGCGATAAAAGCAGCGAAATGTAGTTATTTTGCTGCTCTTATTGCGTCATCAGATAATCGCCCGGCCGCCCTCTTTAGGGTGACCCGCTCCCTGCTCCACCAGGAAGCGCGGGAGGACCCCTTGGAGGGTAGAGCCGAGGATTTTGTTCAGTATCTGTATGACAAAATCACTCAGATTCGGGAAGATTTGGACTCCGACTGGGTAGTCTCAGGGGGAGAGACAGGGGCAGGTCTTGAGAATGTTATCTGGGATGAGTTTGATCCTGTGACCCCTGAGGACGTGGACAGGATTCTGGGTAGACTGAACGCGACCACTTGTTTATTGGACCCGTGTCCTTCCTGGTTAGTACTGGCTTCCCGGAAGTGACACGAGGCTGGCTCCAGGGGATTATAAACGCTTCGCTGAGTGAGGGTGACTTTCCCGCCGCCTTGAAAGAGGCGGTGGTGAGGCCTCTCCTCAAGAAGCCTTCCCTGGACCCGGCAATGTTGGTAAATTATCGTCCGGTCTCCAATCTTCGCTTTGTTGCGAAGGTTGTTGAGAGTGTGGTCGCGCAACAGCTCCCCCAGCACCTGGATGAAACGACGTATCTGGATCCGTTCCAGTCGGGCTTCAGGCCCGGGTACAGCACGGAAACGGCATTGGTCGCGTTGGTTGATGATCTCTGGAGGGCTCGGGACAGGGGGTGCTCCTCTGTCCTGGTCCTGTTAGATCTCTCAGCGGCTTTTGATACCATCGACCATGGTATCATGCTGCACCGGTTGGAAGAGTTGGGGGTGGGAGGCACTGTGTTGCGGTGGTTCTCCTCCTTTCTCTCTGACCGGTCGCAGTCTGTGTTGACAGGGGGACAGAGGTCGACCCCGAGGCCCCTCATATGTGGGGTGCCGCAAGGGTCGGTCCTCTCGCCTCTCCTGTTCAACATTTATGTGAAGCCGCTGGGCGAGATCATCCGTGGTTTCGGGGTGGAGTACCATCAGTACGCTGACGACACCCAGCTGTACATCTCCACCCCGGATCACCCCAACGATGCCCTTGAAGTGATGTCCCGGTGCCTGGAGGCCGTACGGATCTGGATGGGGAGGAACAGGCTCAGGCTCAACCCATCCAAGACTGAGTGGCTGTGGTTTCCGACGTCCCGATATAGTCAGTTGACGCCATCACTGACTATTGGGGGCGAATCATTGGCCCCCACGGAGAGGGCTCGCAACTTGGGCGTCCTCCTGGACTCACGGCTGTCTTTAGAAGAGCACTTGACAGCCGTGACCGGGAGGATTTTTCATCAGGTTCGCCTGATTCGCCAGTTGCGTCCCTTTCTGGATCGGGACTCTTTACGCACGGTCACTCATGCCCTTGTCACCTCCCGCCTGGACTATTGCAACGCTCTCTACATGGGGCTCCCCTTGAGGAGCACCCGGAGGCTCCAACTGGCGCAGAGTGCGGCCGCGCGGGTGGTAATGGGAGCGACATGGCGTTCCCATGTAACACCTCTCCTGCGCGAGCTGCACTGGCTCCCGGTGGTCTTCCGGGTGCGCTTCAAGGTTTTGGTTACCACCTTTAAAGCGCTCCATGGCTTAGGACCCGGGTACTTGCGGGACCGCCTACTACCACCAATAGCCTCCCACCGGCCGGTACGCTCCCATAGAGAGGGGCTCCTCCGGGTGCCGTCAGCCAAACAATGCCGACTGGCGGCCCCCAGGGGGAGAGCCTTCTCTGTGGGGGCACCTACTATCTGGAACGAGCTCCCCCCAGAGATACGGAGGATCCCGGATCTGCGCACCTTCCGCCGCGCCTTAAAGACCTTACTATTTCACCAGGCCGGCCTGGCCTAATTTTCCCCCTCTTTTATAAAAGATTTTTAAAATTTTAAATATTTTTTAGTATTTATATATTCAATTTTAAATTGGTTTTAAAAGTTTGGGGTTTTAAATTTGTCGGGGCCAAAATTATTTAATTTGATTTTATTCTATTTTTTAAATTTTGTATTGTATGTGTTTTTATTGTTTGGCTGTGCACCGCCCTGAGTCCTTCGGGAGTAGGGCGGTATAGAAATCTAATAAATAAATAAATAAAATAAATAAATAGTGGGTGCCCCCACAGAGAAGGCCCTCCCCCTGGGGGCCGCCAGTCAACACTGCTTGGCTGACAGCACCTGGAGGAGCCCCTCTCTGTGAGAGCGTACTGGCCGGTGGGAGGCTGTTTGTGGTAGTAGGCGGTCCCATAAATAACCAGGTCCTAAGCCATGGAGTGCTCTAAAGGTGGTAACCAAAACCTTGAAGCGCACACGGAAGACCACCAGGAGCCAGTGCAGCTCGCGCAGGAGAGGTGTCACACGGGAGCACCATGTTGCTCCCATAACCACCTGCGCGGCCGCACTCTGCGCCAGTTGGAGCCTCTGGGTGCTCCTCAAGGGGAGCCCCATGTAGAGAGCATTTCAATAGTCCAGACGGGAGGTGACGAGAGCATGAGTGACTGTGTGTAGGGAGTCCCGATCCATAAAGGACGCAACTAGCGAATCAGGCGAACCTGATGAAAAATCCTCCCCATCCCGGCCATCAAGTGCTCTTCTAAAGACAGCCGTGAATCCAGGAGGGCGCCCAAATTGCGAGCCCTCTCCGTGGGGGCCAGCGATTTGCCCCCAATAGTCAGCAATGGCGCCAACTGACTATATCGGGACTTCGGAAACCACAGCCACTCGGTCTTGGATGGGTTGACCCTGAGCCTGTTCCTCCCCATCCAGATCCGCACGGCCTCCAGACACCAGGACATCACTTCAAGGGCATCGTTGGGGTGGTCCGGGGTGAAGATGTACAGCTGGGTGTCATAAGCGTACTGGTAGTACTTCACCCCGAAACCACGGATGATCTCGCCCAGCGGCTTTACATAAATGTTGAACAGAAGGGGCGAAAGGACCGACTTTGGCCAGGTGTGAGAAGGTCCTTGGTTCCCAAGAGAAAGTATTTTATTTTGACTACACAACCCCAGCTATCTCTTATCCCTCCTCCCTATCCCTCAGCTCCAGTGTGACAACGCTGAAGTGTCCAAGATGGCTTCGGTCAGTTCAGCTTCAGGGTTGAGACTTAGAGCCAGCCAACAGTGGTTTCCGTGGACCATTCCTGCTCAGTTGGATCTTCATGATTGTTTGTTTTAGAACAGCTACAGCTCAATTCACAAGGCTTCTTCTGCATGCCAAGGTCATATTCCAATCTCCAGCATCCATGAGTGATTTGGAGTGGCACTGCTCTTAATCTCCCTGTAGCTTTTCCTGGTTTCTGATAGACCCTAGTTCACCATTTCTTTTGAAGGCATGCTGAAGGTAGAAATAGAAATATACAAAACAATAAAAGAAGCATATTCAATGCTTGGGCACCTACAGTGTCTCTCTTTTCTCTTTTAGAAAGTGCCCTTTGCCAGGTGTGGCATAAAGAGGTGCCAGGCAGGAGAGAAGAGAAGCGTTCCAGAGGGCGAGCAAGTTTGCTGCTACCAATGTGCCCCTTGTCCAGAAGGAACCACTTCTAATAAGACAGGTAGAGCACATCTTAATTGTAGATCTTCCAGGATCAAGGAAAGCATTCAGTAGAAACAAATATGAACTTTTTTGGTAGATTGACATTTTTCAAAATATTCACACTTTTCAGCAGAACCTCTGAGTTGATGGATCTAAACTGTCCTGCCCTCCTGACCACCTTCCCTGTTCCTCAGCAGTTTAATGAAGAATAGTTTCAGGGCAGAATTCATGTGTACTATGCTAAACTTTATATTCCAAATCTGGCTACATCCAGAAAAACCAGCTACCGAACTTTTTGTGAAGGGTGTGAGTTTCAATCTTTATTTTTCATTATTTAGGATATGGTTCTTCTATCAGGACTATCAGTCTCCCAGGAGAGTGATAGACATGTTGGAGAAAGGGTCTGTAGGAGACGACCAGGCTGAGCACGAGGGACGAGTCAAATGAATTATCAGTCATGAATCTCTTTGTGCCCACAAGAGATTTAAGTCGAGCCCAGCTTGAATTCCTTTGACTATTGCTAATTTGCTTGGACCATTGAAAGTTCAGATTCTGGTAGCGAGTTTAATATTGCAAAAAATATTAACAACCTTTTGAACTGTATCTTGTGACTTCTCTGGTCCATGACAGGGGAGATTCATCTAATTATGTATGCATGCCACTCCCTGCAAAAGAAAAAAAATAGTCTCAATGACTTGATGCAAAGCAGAGAATTTGAGTCATAAACGTGAAAACAATCTTGACTTAGGCTAATCTGTCCCCAGCATAATTAATATTGAAGGATGATTTACCTTTTTCGATATTCCGTGTAATGCAAAGTGACTCTTGATTTCAGATGCAGCTCACTGTGACCCCTGCCCAGAAGACCAATATCCCAACAAAGACAAGGACCACTGCATTGCCAAGAAGATCCATTTCCTCTCCTATCAAGACCCCCTGGGATACACTTTAGCTTTGCTCTCACTTTTTCTTTCTATGATCACCTTGGGAGTTCTAGCAATTTTCCTTAAACATCGTGACACACCGATTGTCAAGGCCAACAACCGAGATCTCTCCTACATCCTCCTGGTCTCCCTCCTGCTCTGCTTCCTCTGCTCCTTCCTCTTCATTGGTCAACCTGGGAAGCTCCTCTGCCTCTTCCGACAATCTGCCTTTGCCATTCTCTTTTCCCTCGCAGTTTCCTCTGTCTTGGCAAAAACTGTCATGGTGGTTCTGGCCTTCATGGCCACCAAGCCTGGGAACAAGACAAGGAAACTCTTAGGAAAACCTCTGACCAACTCCATTGTCTTCACCTGTCCCCTGGTCCAAGCACTTCTTTGTGCCACCTGGCTGGTAACCTCTCCCCCATTTCCCAACTTCGATTTCCACTCCTTGGTAGGAGAGGCCATCTTGGAATGCAATGAAGGCTCAGTTTCAATGTTTTACAGTGTCCTTGCCTACCTTGGCTTTTTGGCCCTAGTCAGTTTCACTGTGGCCTTTTTAGCTAGGAAATTGCCTGACAGCTTTAACGAAGCCAAATTCATTACTTTTAGCATGCTGGTCTTTTGCAGTGTGTGGATCTCATTCCTCCCCACCTACCTGAGCACCAGAGGGAAGTCCATGGTGGCCGTGGAGATCTTCTCCATCTTGGCCTCTGGGGCTGGGCTCTTGGCTTGCATCTTTTTCCCCAAATGCTTCATTATCCTCCTGAGGCCTCATCTTAACTGTAGAGAGAATATAATGAAGCACAAGGATCTCTGATTTATGCAGGGATTGGAAATTTTTATTTTGATTTTTTGAAAGAAAAGATGTATTACTTATAAGTTTTTAAAGTTTAAATCTATGACTTTGAAAGGCATGAAGGTTTTGCATTTCTAATATCAGCAGATTGGAGAGCTTTATCATCCCTCTGGTCTGAATATCCCATCAAAAGTTGGGAAGGTGACATGACCTCATCTCATCAATTATGTGGCCAAGCGACTTTCCCCAAAGCTTCTAACTGGTTGTGGGCTGCAGGTGAGTCAGATGCAAAGGGGGGGAGTGTTGGGGAGGGTTTTTAAAGGGTTCCCCATACAGGTACCAGGTCAATGTGAGAAAGGGAGAGAAACTTTCCTCCCTTAATATTTTTAATGCATTTAATTTTACAGTTTAATCTGACCTTTTTAGTATTTTGATTTTAGATCTGGAATTGTCCAAAGTTGGTTGTAAGATTGTTGGCAATGCAATGTTTTTCTCTGGTTTTTTTATTAATTTATCAGAACATAAAATACAAAGGAAAATGAAAGTGGAGGAAACTAGATGAGGGAAAAAGGGAAAAAGAAAAAGTGTGGGATAGAGAGGTGAAAAAAGAGTTGACTTCCGACTTTTTTTATCAGAGTAGAAGATAATAACATCTTATTATCTTCATTTTTTTCTTTTACACAGTAATAAATAGTAGCCATTTATGTAACAACAAACCTATCTAATCAGCAAAACCAAAATCAAAGTTTTATTTTCCCCCCTCATAAGCACAAAATCCAGAAGCGATTTCCAAATAAAAACAAAATTTGATATATAATATATACTTCTATTTCCACTTATTAACCTTTGTAGATTTTTGTCATTCATGTTAACAAAATTCATGCTATTACTTCAGATTCTTTAACCTTAAAGGGAAAAAACATTTTTTTACGTTCATTTTAAAACACGAAACTTTTCTTTAAAAGCATTTCTATAATCAATAAGTTCTAGTACATCTTAAACTTCTTCTTAAAATATATTTTAAGAGTCACTTTCAATTATATTTTACAAACTTAAAAAATTATTCAAGCATTATATTGAAAGAGAAAAACCCATTTTCAAACCCACTTTACAAACAGCAAAAACTATATTAAAGCTTTCTTTCAATTACATCTATCAGACCAATAAAAATCCACCTAACTCCAATTGCCTCATTAAATTTAAGTCACCCCCTCCAATTTATCCACACAGAATAAAATCTTTTTCCTCTCTGGAATGTCTATTAAATAAATATAAAGTTCTCTTTTTCTCAAAGAATTCTCCACCTTTTTAGTATCCATGAAGAAAAGGTCCCAAATTTATCCTCTTTAAGAGCTGAAAATTCACTTGGAAATCTTGTTTCAATTGCGCTGGGAGGTTTATATTTAAACAGTCATCATCATAAAGGTTGGGGTCACATTTATATACCAAAATTGCAGCTAATTCCTTTGCATTGTCAGATACTTGTGAAATTGCCTCAGTGATTTGATAACTTTCTACACAAAATTGAATCTCTGAATTATTCATCTTTCTTTCAATTATTTTCATAACATCTTTGGAAGTTTACTGATCTATGAACCGAATAGATTTACTTGGATATCTCTCCAGAAGCTGTTTTGCAAAACAAAGACATCCCTCAGTCTCCATTTTCTTGGCTCCCTCTTATGAAGAAACAGTAGATTTTTTAAATCAATCAGTGAATGCTTCCTGGCCAATGAGAATTCATAAAAATCAGAAAGTTTCAACCACCCACAACAAAACAATCCAAAGCTATAGATTCCTTAAAAGTAATAAAAGAGAGCCACAACTTTCTGTCCTTATATTTCACCATCAAAGACACTCCACACTTCCTTATTTTAGCTTGCCTCCAGCAACCCTCTTCCTTGTCGTTTAACGATAAAGGAATTGTCACAATTAAATGCCTTATTCTTCAACATGTAAATAGTATATAACCGGAGTATTAGGGGTTAACTTATTCTTCATCATTTAATGTATTCATATTTAACCACTCCCATATCTTGCTCCGCCTTGTATATATAAAAGGAGCTGTATGCACCCTCTCTTTGCTTCTATCTGTGATTATTCAGTGAATATAGAATGCCTACTGTAAATAAACAGTGTTTTGTTTGAATACTTTATTCTTAATTCAATTATTGAGTCTGATCCTAAAAATCTCGCAACAATCTGGTAGCAGAGGATGGTTGAATTGACTCAATAAAACTTTAAATATGTCTAAGAGAGAAAACTCCAAAAACAAAAGAGAAAGACCCAACACCAGGGCATACAGCAAAGAAATGGAAGCAGATCAAGAAATGATCGATGAATCCACAACTGCAATATCGAGAGAATCTGAAGACTGCACTACAGACAACGAAGAAATAATGGATGAAACTGATGACTAAGAAGAAAACGAGATAGAAAACAACGAACTCAGGTCAGAGATACTAAGACTCTTGAAAAGTCAAAAGAATGACAAAAATCTCATCGCGAACCTCCAAGACATAATAAAAAACAACGGAGCAGCGAGAGAGAAACACATCGTAACAGATGAACCTAAAGATTCAAAAATGGTGAGTGAACTGCCTGTAGATAAGAATATAACAAAAAGCAATATGAAAAAGAAATAATCACACAGACTGCAGCAAGAATATACGCACAAAATGGAAACAATCCCGACTCAAGAGAAATTAATATCCAAAATGCGCTGAGATGGATAAACTTACCAAGAGATCCAAGAAAAGAAAATCTGAACTAGTCTGGCAAAAATGATAAATGAGAGGAAAAAAGAGAAGAAAGAAAAATTGAATAAAAGAAAAGATATCAATAGAGTAAAATACAAATGAACACGAGATATCAATAAAATAATATCATGAGAAATATTGTATATTGAAGAATATAGATATTGATATTGTAACAATTCAGATATTAGTAGATGTTATAAACTTGCATTTATAAATGTATTATGAAATTAAATTAAAAAAGAATATAACAAAAGAAGACTAACAGTCCCACGCAAAATTTTGAATGGCAGCCATCTTGGTTCCAACAGACCACTAAGATGAGCGAAGCAGAGCCAATCAGAAAGCAGAATTCAAAATATCTGGCGCGAAAAGCCTTACACGATGCAAAAAACAAAAGAGAGAAAATTTACTCCTCAGAAGAATCAGACACAGACGTTGAAGAAACTTCAATAGAAATGCAAATAGAATCAGCGATGAAAACACTTTTTGCATCATTCGGTCCAAAATTGAAAATCACAAAAGAATCACCAAAAGATAGCAGTCGAAAAGTAAAGAAAAGGCAAATAAGCAAGCAAACTTCTCAGAATCTACCCGCTTCTATCCAGACGATGAGAGCACCGACGCCTGAACCCAGAGAGCCCTGCAGATACCACCCCACACCGCAGACGATCCCAGGAACCAGCGATCTCAACAAGAATCATCTCAACAAAAGAAAACGAGCGCCTGCTGTCACCTGGACTCCCAAGATCGAACCGGAGACCGATTCGTCAGAAGATGAACGCTACGAGGGAGCTGCAGCAGCGAGAACCTCTCCCGACAGCTCCAGGAGCGAAATGAACAACGCGCATGTGCAGAACTACGCAGACAGCTTCGGAGGACATGAAGAACAGAGAGAGCCATTCAGACTCGTTGCAAGTATACCCACACCATTCTGCAACTATCAACACTTGCAAGATCACGGACTACCCCCAGTTGTAAGTAATGGATCTAACAATATAGGGAATTTACCCAATGATTTCCCAAAACTGAGAATAGATGGTATTAATTTGCAGGAATGGTGTCAACAGCTTCAGGTTGTTTTTCTAAAAGAAAACTTATTATTTTTTATTACTAACCCCCCCCCAAAAGACCTTGGACTCTAAAATTGAACTGCCTACACCACAGAGCATTTTTCTTATTAATTTCCAGTATATCTCCTGCCATGTACCATAGTATTAAGCCAAATCTGACTGTATCAGAAATTATCCAATGCATGTTTAAATTGTTTCACAGTGAAAGTGTAGCCACTACAACAAGAATGTCTAAAGATTTCTTCTCAGCTAGGATAAAGCCAGGGGTTACCATAAGTGAACATTTAATATCTTTAAACAAAATCAGAGCAGAGCTGCATTTAAGGGGAGAGATAATTTCAGATCAAACAATGAAGAGTGTTATCATCAACTCACTAGACCCATCATAGGATAACTACATATCACATTTAGACACAATCAATTTAGGGTATTTATCCATAGAAAATTTATCAAATAAGCTAATAGCTGAAGATAATTCAAGAAGGAGTCGTTGTAACAATCACATAGAACATAAACAATATAAGAGGGTAGCATTCCAAGAAAGATATCGTGAATCAATTGAATGCCACAACTGTGGATCTAAAGAACATAATAGGAGAGATTGTCCTAAACTCCTTAGGGAAAGACAAAAAACTGACTATAGAAATAGATACCATAACAGACAATCATCCATTGATAGACATAGATATAGGAGTCCACCCAACTATAGAGAACATAGAGGTGGCAGGGATAATTCAAAGGATAGAAGATCTGGTTCACTAAATGGATTAAACAAACATAACACAACTAGCATACAACAGTCAGAGGATAATGATTGGCTCATTGATTCTGGGGCAACTAATCACACTACACATAACAAAACATATTATCTTCATTTATAGAAGATAAATTTGTAATTAAAGTAGCTAATCAAGAAAAAGTCCAAGTCATTGGTAGAGGGAATGTTAACTTACCAGGCCTAGGAAAAATAGAGGGGGTATTGCTAATACCAGAAATACCTCATAACATACTTAGTGCAATAAAACTAAGTAGAGATTATGACATAAATATAGTATTTTCAAAGGGAAGAGCAACACTAGAGAAAAACAAAACAAGCTTAGGTAATGTGGTTATCAAAGGAGGTCTACCATACTTAATCACAAAAGAAAGATGATTACGCAATATTGATTCCAACATGGAAGAAAACAATGAC